AGATCGCAATGGTTACGACACTCAGGGATCTTATTACGTTCAGCTTCCCGACGGTCGTCTGCAGAGGGTTACTTACACCGTGAACGGCGACTCCGGCTATGTGGCTCAAGTCGAATATCAGGGAGAAGCCCAGTACTCAGCCTACCAGCCCTCTCCCAGCTACAGGCCAACCCCTGGCTATGCTTAACCAAATATTTTGATTATGAAGTTGAATCTTTTCATCGACATTTATGAATCTGCATAACTTATTATATCAATAAATAATTCTAAGAAAATCCTTGTCTCAAAATCTTTATTTATTCAACGAAATAAGTAACATAAGTACCTTATGCACGAATACATTGACTAAAATGGTCTTATTCAAAACATATCGATGTTCGAGTATGTAAAAAAGAATATTAATTTAGATTTAGCAGCAAAAATATATTATCAGCTATATTTGTCATTTACCAGTCAGCTACATTACAGACTTCCATTCCTTTTGTTTCTACGTGAGAACCTCAATAAATAAAGTTGATGTTATCTGAAAATTTTGCCATTCTCATGTCCTACTTATATTTACTTTCTTATTATTCTTTGTTTTGTAATAAATACACTGGTACAGTAAAGTTAAGAGAACCATTGAAAGTAAATAGACAAAAAACATATTAATGGAGTGAAGATGTTCCTATATGTGCACATCATGTAATGTGACTAAATCCTTAAATTAGTAATATGAACACTGGCAAAAAAAAAATATTTAAAAAATGCTAACTATCGTCTCCTTGATGACATCCAGGATGACAGAGAATCTCTATCTTGGTGAGTGACTCAGATACTGTATGGACCAATTACTCTGTTCTTCCCTTCACTCCCGGGGGCGTGAGTAGCTAGGTAAGGGGCTTGAAAAGTATCTACCTGAATTACTTTGGCTTTGTTTTTACTCATATCTTTCTTCAAATGATTCTTTATTTTTGAGGCCTTAAAGTTAACAAATTAATTAAATGAGATCAAAGATTAAATTCATAGTCATAAAAATGCATTAGTATCATATCTATATATTCCAACATCACACTCTACAATGTTCTCGCCAGTAGTTCTTAAAATGTTTGATATTTAATTTAATAAATAATTAATTAATTGGTATTTTTACCTTAGCACACTGAAAATAATGAATTTTTGTTCCTCAGATCGTTAAATATTTTACATTAACTATAAATTAGCTTATATGTTTCTGAATAAGAACTTGGTAAGCATTAGATAAATTTATCTAAGTTAATTAAATGCTAGGAAATTAATAATTATTCTCTTTAATATACAGGAATTTAAATGATAACTTATGTTCTTTGAGCAGATTCAACACTCACCTACAGTCCAGGGCACCCAGCTAACCCAGAAGTGAATGGGTAGATAAGTTTTTATTTTGAGAAATAATGGCTGGAAAGTATAGTGCCAGCCACCCAGCCTCCTTGTGCACAGAAAGATTAGTATGCAGTATGCTGTATCTATTCTGCCCCATATCACATATTCATAAACTTTTATCCTATATTTATCCATGTATTCCCCTTAGGGAACTATCTTTATCCCTAGGAAGTAGGTAAGCAGATGTGCATCAACAACAAACTAGCTTTACCTTAGGCATATGAGGAGGAACTAGATGTCTTAATAAAGACTGGACTCTTCGTTCTTAATGTTACAACGATCATGAAAATCCTATTTCGGCATATCTTATTTATACCCAATGTGCCAATTTCGTCTATGATATGAGATTAACATGGGACCTACACTTTGCTAATATTTTTTTTTGTGATAAGTGGACATTTCCTTATGTTAATTATTCAAATAATATAGTGCATTTGTACCGGACAACCTAAACTTGCTGAAAGTTGATTATGAGAAATATGGCTTCAGGGTGTAAGACGGCTGGAGAAACATTTTGGATCACAGGACGGTAATGACACGCAACTAAAACGATAGAAAAAAATCTGTATTACCCATTAAGTTTCAGGTCTAGCAAACAATTGTGAGTGGGCACGTAAACAGTCTTATTTGTGACATTTCTATTTAAAATTTATATATAAAACGGCTCGTAGAACATAAAATGCACACTTGAAAATCCTCACGAGGTAAGTTTTAGAACAGCAACACTTTGAACTGGGCGACGACCTACGACCTCCTGGGAGGGTGGTGTAGGTCACAGAGCTCCTCACGTCTTGACTGTTGATATTTCTTCTCAAAAAGGTGTTGAATGGTGAAGTTCTGTAATCACTTACCATTATCAAGTCCGTGTTGCTTTCCCTCTTATATCTAACACCGTGACAAGATGGGTGGAGCCTCCAGTATATAAACCTGGCGCGTGTGGTACGACATCAGTCTCACTCTTCCCTCACATCGCAGGATGGCTCTTATGGTAATCATATGAGTGATATATTTTACCTGAGAACTATAAGAAATGCGCCTTCAAAAAGTTGAAATTACATTTTACTTAAGATTGTTTCATGATTTGGTGTTTTTCAGGTTTACGTCCTCGCTGCCCTTGTGGCCGTCGTCATCGCTGACAATATCCCCTACACCCCTCCAAGTCCTTCCTACAACGCTCCGCCCCTCGGTAGTTCTATATACTTTTTTCTTTTTATATACAAGTTATTGTAGGCAATATTCATCTGAACCTTTTCAAACACTAAAACATATCTCTGTATTGTTATCAGAGAATGTGTTGGCTTAACATGGTCTGATTATGCCCTGACTTGTGTAATTTCTCCCCAGGGTCCTGCTCAGTACAACTTTGACTGGTTAGTGAACGACGCGAACTCCGGCAACGACTACGGCCACAACGAAGCTCGTAATGGCTACAACACTGAGGGATCCTATTATGTTCAGCTTCCCGATGGTCGTCTACAGAGGGTTACCTACACCGTGAACGGCGACTCCGGCTACGTGGCTCAGGTTGAATATCAGGGTGACGCCCAGTATCCAGCCTATCAGCCCTCTCCCAGCTACAGGCCAACCCCTGGCTACGCTTAATTAAATATATACATTAGGAAATTGAATCTTCTACTGTACAAGTATGGATCTGTTTAAGTTAACATATCAATAAAAAAGTTCTCAAAAAACATGTCTTTCGTCTTCCTGCCGAATTTAAGTAAAATAGTACATAAACACAGGCATGAATCGTTCAAGAGAGCCTTATTAAAATCATATAAGTATGTTTACAAGAATATAAATTTAAATTTAGCAGCCAAAACATACAAACAGTCATATAAGTCACCTGCCAGTTATAAAACAGAAAATTACAGATTTACTTTCATTCAGAGTAACATCTCATTGATGTTCAACTGAAAACGTAGCCATTCCCAAATCTTTTCTTATTCACCCATATACGATTATTATTTTAACCAAATAAACTGGTTTAGTTAAAAGAACCATTATTTAATAAATATGAAAAATGCACTTATTAAATGTAGGAATTTCTTAAAATTTATCCTTCATGTGGAGTGGATAGATTAATCCATTGATATTGAAATGTGTCTGAATCTTAAGAACACTAGTAAACGAGCATTAAATAAGGTTAACCATCAATGGTTGAGGACAATCAGCATGTCACACTCCCTGACTTGTTCACTCACTCGTGTACAGAGTAAGTAGGTAGCGTAACGGGTTTCAAGGATTCTTGCTAGATAGTCGAATAAATGATTCCTCTAGTCATAGCTGAGTCATCAACGCCGATGGCTTAAAAATACAAGATATAATTCAGAACACATTCTAACATCTCTGTCAAAAATGTTCCTACAGGGATATTTTCAAGATTTTAATCCACAATTCATCGCCATGTAAGCATTGTATACTTTCACTTGTAGAAATTGGAAAATCATTTCTTGATATTCAAATAAGTGAATCTTCTACCTTTTAATACATTAACATTATATATTTTAGCGTATTAATTTGATTTCCTTGAAAAACCCACGATCCTGAACACTTCAAACAAAAAGATAAAGCAACATATTTTAGTACTTAGAGTAGATACACCACTCACCTAGACACTAGGACACTAGGTTAAAGCAGTTGTAAATATGTAGTTAAATTTGTAGTTGCGGAAGTGAAAGCAGATGAATACAGTGTCGACCATGGCACCTCCTTGTATATCAAAGAAGTATTATTAAAAGTGCCATATTCATCTTGCCCCTCTAGTCCGTCAGGTCAATAGGGCGTAATTTTATGGAGATTTACCTTAGATTTATGAACAAAAACTTTAAGTAAACAGCTTTTCCCTTTAGATGTAAGTTACTGGAACATAATGAGTAAGATATAGATCTTTTATAACTGGATAATCTCTGTCTGTAAGGAAAGAACATCCAAGAAAATTCTATTTTGCCATATTTGATCTACAGTTTATGCAATATGTCACTTTTTCGTTCTAAAACCATTAAACTGAGACACCAACTTCATAATCAGTAAACTATATGCTGTCCACAAGTATCATCCTTAATGTGGTATCCTAAGTTATAAGTTATATATACTCTGTGTTCACCATCATTATTCAATAAATATTCATTATAGCGATACTTTACCAGTTCTGAGCCTCCCCGAAATTTAATACAAACTTTATAATGCTTACGCGGATGGCTTCAGGGTGTTAGATTTAGGTCTGACAAAGCACTAATTAATAAGGATGTAGATTCAGTGCTATTTATTTAAATTAATTGCTTAATAACACTTCATGCCAAGAAATATTTTTAATTGTACATTAAATTTTATGAATCTACATAAAAACATATTCGAAACAGAAATATATCGAAGCACACAGAACGCACATTCGAAAGTCAGTCGTTATGAGGAAAGTGTTAAAATAGAGGCACTTATTAAACTAGAGCATGACCTATAACCTCACTTGCTATAATCTAGCCCTTGGAAAAAGGTGTTCAGTGGTCACTTACCAGGGTCAAGGACTCTGCTGCTTTCCACCTCACATGTAACATCACGAAAAGATGGGTGGAGCCTTCAGTATATAAACCTGGAGCGAGTAACGCTGGACATCACTCTCGCTCTTCCCTCACACCTAAACATGGCTCTTAAGGTAAACAAATGATTATGTTATACATTACCTGTCTACCATGCGAAGAGCACTTTCATATAATTGTAGGAGATTATTTCACTTTGAATGAAATATTGATTCTGTGGTTTTCAGGTTTACGTCCTCGCTGCCCTTGTGGTAGTCGCTATTGCAGACAATATCCCCTACACCCCTCCACGTCCCTCCTACAACGCTCCTGCCCCTGTTGTAAGTTTTAACACATAAAATAGCAATTATCATCCTACGATAATAATTTTTGATTGAAATCAATAGTCCTGTGAACATTATATATATTGGCTGTGTTTTAAATTTTCTGATATAGCATATAGTATACAATTATATTCCTATTCAACAATTATAATTTGAATGCTGGATGGTTTTTTACTCTCAGGGTCCTGCCCAGTACAACTTTGACTGGTCAGTGAACGACGGCAACTCCGGCAACGACTTTGGCCACTATGAAGGTCGTAATGGCTACGACACCGAGGGATCTTATTACGTTCAGCTTCCCGACGGTCGTCTACAGAGAGTTACCTACACCGTGAACGGCGATTCCGGCTATGTGGCTCAAGTAGACTACGAGGGCGAGGCTCAGTACCCAGCCTACCAGCCCTCTCCTAGCTACAGGCCAACCCCTGGTTACGCTTAACGAAATAGTTAATACACATGTTTAAATCTGCATAAATTATTACATTAATAAAAAATACTAAAAGATTACCTGACCACCACCCTTAACTACTAACGAATAAATTGAAACATGTACACATACGAATGAAAAAATAATAATTCCCCTCAAGTATGTTGTATAATAAAACTTAGATTTACCATCAAGCACACAGTAATACATGACTCCTACCAATCAGTATAAGTACACGAATAACAACGTACAATTAGAGGTACATCACGGAAAGAACTGATAACAAAGTTAATTCCAGCCCATCATTTTTATCCCAAAATGTCTTCATTCCAAAATCATGCCGTGATTAACAATCTTATTACTGTTTGTAAGTTCTGTGGAATGCGTAGATAAATCTTACAATGTCAAAATGCCTGAATAAATTGAAGTCAACGACACGAACATACAGTAATTACTATTAACCCTCGGCTGAATGATGGCATTCTGTATTTTGGAAAATTCTCCTATTCACATCTTTGTTGTAGTGAATCGGTATTGTCGAAGCCATAAAGTTCATAAATACATAAAGTTAATTAAAGTTTTTTTTTATTCGAAATGTTATAATACCATACTGATAGACTGCATAATATATTTTGTTCTTTAATTTAATAAATGTTTTGTCATTAAATTTTAATGTACCTGCTCAAACATTAGCTTTATTTAAAAAACACAGAGGAACCCATACAGCCTTAGCCCTAATTTACGAAAACATAGCAAACGCAATGCACAACCGAGATCAATGTAACGTAGTATTAAGGGACGAAGCAAAAGCATTCTACAATGTCTGGCACTTAGGGCTCAAATACAAAATTACCACCCAAGAACTTCCCAACAAATTTACTTCCTTTCTTTGTAACTTCCTTGACAACAGAGAGGCTAAAATTATCATTGGAACCACATAGGCAAGCATCAAGTTATACAGCGGAGTACCACAGGGAAGTAACCTCTCACCCACACTCGGCACAATATACACGGTGGACATGCCACCTCCTACACACGGAGAATACGTAGCTTATGCTGATGACGTCACCCAAATCATCCAACATCCAGGCAAGGGCAAACAGATGATGGCACGAAAAACAGCCCACGCCATCGAACAAATTAACGAATATGAAAAAAAGTTGAAAATACAGACCAATACACAGAAACTAAATATCATACACATTGCCAAAATAAACCCAGCACCAATCACAGTCAACAACGTATCTATACAATACTCCAACGAAGGCAATATTCTGGGACTCACAATAGCAAGAACAGGCATAGCAAAACACATAACACAACGCAAATCGCTTGCCCAATCACAACTCACAAAACTACGAAGATTTAGCAAAATGGACACAAAAATTCAACTACACCTATTCAAAGCACTTGTCCGCCCTCACCTGGAGTACTCACCAATACCACTCAGCACGATCAGCAAAACCAGCCAATTTAAACTTCAATTAGTAAAAAACAAAGCTATCCGTAAAGCATCAAAGCAACTCCCCCCATACAATACCAAAATACAAGAACTTCACGAATTATACAATATCGAAAAACTGAACACACACACAGCCAAGCTCAGAGAATCTGGAGCAAACTTGAAGATTTGAATTGAATTGAATTGAATTGCTGTTCGAACTGAACGACACGACCCTCCTCGGCAAATGTGGGCCCAGATCGGAATAACGTCTCTGGAAGGCAACACCATCACCACCAACCCGGCATCCCAACCCAGAAGAGGCCGAGAGACTTTAAAACTCTTCTCCTACGAACAAAACTGCAGAGACAGGCGGAGAGCACAACGGCGTCTGCGTCAGACCGAACTCCAGATGATCGAAAAGAGGCCGCAATGTTGAAGAAAGACATAAACAGACGCCAAACCAGCAAGAACTCCAGGGGGTGATAAAACGAAGCAAGGACACAGCACCAGGGGCCGACAGGATAACCTACTTCATGCTTTTTCCATGCCGGAGAAGCCGGGCACAAGGCTTGCTACAAGTCACCGAAATGCTTTGTGGATAGCACAGGAACTTCCACCGGAATGGAAGAGAGCAGATATACAGCCCATTCCGAAGCTCAAACCAGACAAACCAAGACCATCTTCATCCTCCAGATTCTTAACGAAGACGGGAAAGAATGGCTCTCCAACGAACTCAAGTGGAAGAAGTCGACAACCCGCACCCTCATATTTTGCTTACCGAGAACACCGGCCCCAGAGCAACATCATTGCCGGATACTCCAGCACGATGGACCAATAAGCCAGCTGATGATATTTACCTCGGCAGAGAAGGCCTTCGAACTAGCAAATCCACTGGCCATTATAACGACTCGCCGAAAAAAGGCGTCAAGAAGGTTGCTGGGGTGGATCCAGACTACCTCACACACAGAGAAGCAAGAGTACGCTTTCAGGGGCAACCTCCAAGCTACAGGGTCCACCAAAACGGAACCCCAGAAGGAGAGCATCTCAGTCTAACGCTGTTCAATGTCCTGATGGAAAATACAAAGTCAGACTTCCTTTTTCAGACCAAACAGCCAAGCTCCTTTTGCTATGCAGACGACTTACAGCTCATAGTAAGAGGGCAAACAGACTAGTCAACAACACGCACTCCAACTTATAGAAGAGGAGTGCAACAGACTTAGACTCAAATAATCCAGCCAAAATTAAAAAGCGGTAGCCATCTGCACGAGCACACCAGACATGATGCTCTCCATACAAAACCGCCAGTAGTCTGGACCAGCACCCACCAGTGTCTTGGGAATCTGTGGTTCGACCAGAAACTCACTTTCAAGCAGCAACTCGAGTATCTCAGGCACAGGACGAACAACCCAGACACAACATAATGGTCGCTCACCAACAACCACAGGAGCGAACATACACGTGCTCAAAGCCTACTACGGCCGCCATCACATCGCTGGTAGAATTACAGTGCTCTAGCGCTTATTGGACTGAAGAGAAGACCAGATAGCTAAACTAAGTATCCAAAAATAATACTCTCAAAGACCATGTTTAGGAGCACCCATGTGGACCAGAATTTGCAATTTGCAAAATGGAAACTGAACTACTACCCTGGCAGTACGAGTCAAAACGGTGACAGCCGGTCTCCTCGCCAAAATCAGCAGTGAAACGAATAAGCCCACAGCTGCCAAAACGCGAATCGGTGCCCTCCCTCCACCTCGACCACAAGGCGCGAGGGCCAACTGATCCTCTCCGAAGACAACGAGGTCATCGGAGCACCTGCAAGCAGAAACACTCGTCAAGAACAACCAGACATACAGGGAACCAGGACTGTAGTTCCACCACCATGGAGCCCTCCACCAGCCACATTCAAAATTACCGAACTGGGTGATAACCAGCCAACCTCCAGAAGGAGGACTTCAAAAGAAGAACTCCAAGCCAAAACCACCGAGACACCGGCTGATAAGCATCTTACTTCAGGGAACGGCTCAGTGGACCGAAAACATCATAGATCCGGAGCGGCCTTCTACACCCAAAGATCAGACCGTCCTTTGGAGACTTTCTAATGACTTCCTCCACCCACCAAACAGAATTTAGTAGCAATCTCAGAGGCCTACAACACACTACAACACAACCCCACAATAAGTCCATCAATATTCACACGGACTCGAAAACGGCCATACAGACGCTGCAACATAGTCAGCAAAAGACAACGTCCACATCATAACCCCGATCCTCGCACAGCTGGGACTTCAAGGAACAAAACCATCCTTCGTCTTACACTGGTTCCCAGTCATGTAGGGAATCGGAAATGACTTATAACCGAGCAAGCAGCCAAGGCAGCAACACGTTCTACAAGCGTGCATTCAAGTTCAACAAGCGTGAAACAGACCAAGAACCACCTCAGAAAGACTACCAAGCTCCACATCCAAAAGAGCTTCCTTGACGCTTTCAACGCTGATTCCCAATCAGCCAAATGGTACCTGGTTACAAAGGAGAACCACCATTCGCGGACGAGAAAACACCAAGACAAACCCACTGTAAGTGTATTCATCACTCACCTACAGTCCTTAGCATCACTGGCTCGTGTCCAGGGCGCCCACGTGACCCAGCTGTATATGGGTAGCCAAATTTTAGTTGGGATATAAAGGTTGTTTATGCGCAGTGCCGGTCACCCTATCCCCTCGTGTACAGGGGGATGTTTATTCTGCATCCACCCTGCCCATCAGCGCCGTTAGGGTTATCATTTTACCTTGAAGCTATGGATGCTTTGACTCTAAATAAACTTATTTCCCCTTTGGATCAAAACTACCAGGACCAGATCTAACATAGTCTGTCTATACTGGAGGAAAATTACTACACACCACATCTATTATAGTCAAGTCATCTGTTTATCTGTAAGCAAACAACATTCGAGAAACTCTTACTTTCCAAATTTGATCTATATCCAATATGCCACTTTTCCCTTCAAAAACCCATAAACCTGAGACACCAACTGTATAATCAGTGATGTCTTCGTTATCCACAAGTATCATCCTCACTGTGGTAACACTGTATGTTCACCACCTTTATTCAACAAACATTCATTATGGTGTTACCTTACCAACTCTAAGCCTGATCCATAAATTTATTACAATAAAGTAATAAGACGACTGAGGAAACTCTGAGGATCAAAGTTAAATGATAAATCACTGGTCAAACATAAGACAGTTAACACAAAACACATGCGTCTTACTGCACAACACTTCTGAATAAGGATGGATGGTCAGTGTTATTTTGTGATATCTCTTTATTTTAAATGAAAAACTAACTTTTTTTGAGCGTAGTAAATTGAGGAGTTAACATACAAACACAGCTCCAAAAGCAAAACCAAAATATATTCGATGGTAGACTATACATTATACTATCCTGATGAGTAGTGTTAGAACAACAGCATCTGGTAAACAAGAACCTGACCTATGAACTTTTAGGAGGATGATAGAGGCCAGAAAGCTCTTCAGGTGTTGGGTTTTGTCCATTCTCTTCATGGTGTTCAATGGTCATTTTCTAGGTGTCAAGGTCCCGTTGTTTTCTCTCGTCCATCTAACGCCAGGAAAAGATGGGTGGAGCCTTCAGTATATAAACCAAGCGCTTGTATTGGTGGACATCAGTCTCACTCTGCCTTGACACCTTAACATGGCTCTTAAGGTACTCAACTGAGTATTATATACATTGCTTGTCTGTCATGAATAGTTCGCTTAAATAATACTTAAAATATATTTTCTACTTTAAATTATCTCATTAATCTGTGGCTTTCAGGTTTACGTACTCGCTGCCCTTGTAGCTGTCACCGTTGCTGACACTATCCCTTACACTCCTCCACGCCCCTCCTACACTGCTCCTGCCCCCTCGGTAAGTTGAGAAACGTGTTACTATCCACACATAGGAGTTATCATTGTATGATTTTTTTTTACCCAAAATACTCACTGACATTATTTTTATTAACTGAATAACAGAATTTCTAATTCCTTATACAGTACTTCTCATTTGAATTATATCTTCCAAACATGAAATAATCTTCAATAAATGTTATGAATGGTGTTTTGACTTTTCTCTCTCAGGGTCCTGCCCAGTATAACTTTGACTGGTCAGTCAACAACGGCAACTCTGGCAACAACTACGGTCACAATGAAGGTCGCAATGGTTACGATACGGAAGGAGCTTATTACGTTCAGCTTCCCGATGGTCGTCTACAAAGGGTTACCTACACCGTGAACGGCGACTCCGGTTTCGTGGCTCAAGTCGAATATGAGGGTGAAGCCCAGTACTCAGCCTATCAGCCCTCTCCCAGCTACAGGCCAACCCCAAGCTACGCTTAACAAAATATTAGACAGACGTAGGAACTTGGCTCTCGTCGTCATCTTGTACGAAGTTCCTTAAATTATTATATTAATAAAAAATACTTAATTATTCTGTGTATTACCATCCTTATTTATTAATAAATAAGTAAATTAAGTGAAATATGTAAATAAACGAAAGAAAACAATGGTCGCTGGGAGCAACACATACAGTAATTCGTGCCTTTTGTCTATGTTAGTTTATTTGAATCTTCAAACTGAAATGCAATTCTATTGACCATCGTCTTATTCTTTGTTTACAGTAAAAACTAATATCTTAGTGTGCAAAAACGTAAGAAAATCACTTTTATTAATTGACTGAATCATATGATCTCAGCGACACGAACCTTAATCACAGTCGTACTCTCTTGCTGACTCACTACTGTACACACCATTTACAGTATCGCTACATCCATCTTACAGATTGGGAACGGTCACCAAATGTGTATTAGAAGAGTTAAAACTTTTAGAGATTATCGAAAATTATAATTTCACAAATACATATAGTGAGTTAAAGCGTTTATTTTAGAATTGTTAAATGCTATATATTTTAACATTAGACTCGCTTTTCATGTATTATCCCTCTATTTTATCCATAAATTTAGAATGTTTTGTCACATTATTTGGTTACCTTTAAACATATTTACCTAAGATCATTGAATAGTTTGAATATATAAAGTTAAATCACTTTAACCCAAAGTTATTACAAATTTAACCTTAGTCCTTTGAGTGGATACCACACTCATCTGCAGTCCTAAGAGCCGTTTCTTAACTACCAAGGCACCCAGGAATCCCAGCAGTGAACGGATAGTTAAATATATTGTATAGTTGGGAAAGTGATGGTATTTGAGTGGAGTGTCAGGCCCATTAAGTTGTATCCATCCTGCCCCGAAAGGGCCGCCAGGGCTCACTTGTTTATCTTAAGTATTTCTTTTAATTACTCTAAAATAAACATCTTTTCCCAACGGGCTTAAGTTACCATACGAATAGCCCAGCGCTAGAATAGGATAAGCGCCACAACCACCCAAACAGGTTTGTGTAGCTCATTCTTCCCCCAATAAAGTACAAGTGGTGGATATCTCTTTAGGACATTGCAAAAATGGTTAACGATACATTGAACAAATTATGTCGAAACAACCTTACTTACTCCAGTCTTGGTGCTCGCGGGGGAAAATGTGTTGCGCCAGTTGGAGGTAAGTCTCATGGGTGTATTTCTCACACACGAATAGTGACATTGTTATAATGTTTGTAAGCTACAATCCTTCAGTGAATACTATAATAAGCAAAACGCTCTAGTTATCAAACCTCTGGAGACATCACCATCACCCTATAACAATAGCTTTGTAAACATTACTCATATGTTTCTTACACACGCCTTAAAAACAACAACAGATCAGTAACGTTATCAAAGGTCTTGTTATGGGATAACCCTTAACTCAGTCGCGGAATGATCACCAGAGGTTTGGTGAGTATGGACTGTGCTTAGTACAGTAGAACTCGCTAAAGTATAGTAGCTTATAAACATTATAATAATGTCACTTAGAAAAGCTTCTTATTTAATATTTAACCCATCAAAGATTGTTATTATTAGAATGATATTCAGGGTGCCTTTGTGTTATTCTTAATGACCTACTGTACTTGTGATACAGTAATGTACTACAGTAATGTTTTTTTTGTGAAGTGAATGGTGCATTTATTATATTCTGCCAAAAAGTGTCCACAATTTCCAATAAATCATTGCAAACAACATGTTCATATATTAATTGATCGTGACGGTTTATCAATTTTACTGTAGCGCAACTTTGGATGCGACTTTATCGCATTTTTAAAAAAAGCGTTTATCCCATTCTGGCGCCGGGATACACATAGGTAAATCCACAACAAACTGTCTACACTGGACAATAATTACTAGAAACCAGATCTCCTACAACCGATTCAACTCATTAACCTTATTATTATATATTTTATGTCGCTTAAGATTTAACCAAAGTTATCACTAACCGTGCAAATATATCTCCAATATATGACACATTAAGAAAAGCACAGACAGCCATGAGAAAATGAAGGTATATCTCTTAAAATAGGAATGAATGGTAAAACACAGACTATACACAAGAATATCCTCAAGATTTACGATAAAGAAAATGGATCACTTGTTAAAGAAGATCATATCTTTTGGGAGGACGATGGAAATCAATAAACTCATCACGTATTAGATTTTGTCTGGCCTTCCCAGGAGGTGTCAAGTGGTGGTGTAGTCCAGTGGTCAATTAACAGAGTCAAGGACTTTGCTGCGATCTCTCTTATATCTTGCGTCATGACCAGATGGGTGGAGTCCCCGCGATATAAATCTGGCGATTGTAGCGCTAGATATCAATCTCGGTCCATCACACACCTCAACATAGTTCTTAAGGTAAACAATCCTTGTGCTGTGTCAGGAGAAATGTGGTGAAGTCATACTGTTGATTGATTAAAAACTAGGATTCGATGAGGAGTGAGGTGGTCGAGGAAATACAGCACTCAATTAAATATTCACGGCTGCGGATTCGATCTCGGGGTACTTCTATTCCACAGAACTGTAAAGATATGTTTAATTTTACAACTGTGGCATTATATGCCGTGTCGGCCTCAATACCTCATTATATACTGTACTCACGATATAGTTTACAGTGCGTTGTTATGGGCAAACTACCAATGCAGTGGCTTTACTACAATAAATTTCTTATCAAGTAATTGATACATGACGACCGAGGCGAGTCCGGTGTATTTAGTCACGTGTGTTCATACTTTTCATGTCCTGAGGTCCATTGTTAACCATGCATCGTACGATGTTTAACAGTATGCACAACACCAGAATGCGACCTTTCCGAGTGAAATTATATATAATTTGTGTAAAAGACAACCAGAATTAGGTGTCCAGATGTCTGTAAGGAAGATTCAATTAAGTACAACCCTGCTTGTATTTCTTACTTTAACTCTCTGGTTGAGGTTATGAAATTAAGGCAACATGTTAGAGAATTTTGCTTCCTACGGGTATATTGTATCACTCATTAATTACCTATGACGTTAATAATATGTTTATGTTCGTTAATTAAAAATATTTGTGTAGGAAATATTGAAAGAAGTTCGATGAAGTAATAACTAATTTCACCTCTTTAACGTTTACAGTTCTGGTTCAGTTCCACCGGTCGTCTAACATATCATAGTCCCTAATTATGACCTTCTCTTTTTGCTGAAGAAGCTGCCGTTCTTATTTTTGACCCTGTTATGTGCTAAACAGCATATCACGGTTATCTCACAAAAAAACGTGTCTTGTTACAATATACGTACTCCAGGTGTCCCTAACGGGCCATCGGGCCTAATGAGTCCATTATCGCTTTTTCATGAATTGTTTGTTTTCAGGTTTACATCCTCGCTGCGCTTTTGGGCGTTGCCGTTGCTGACACTATCCCCTACACCCCTCCACGTCCCTCCTACATCGCTCCCGCCCCTGCTGTAAGTTCTTGTGGACATTATCTTACATAACTGATGAAGAGTGTTTCACATCTAATGAAGTTGTCTCTCCTTTCACATATGAGAACTTAAAACTATTTTGTTTTCAATGGTTTATAATTCTCCTTCCCAGGGTCCTGCCCAATACGAATTTGACTGGACCGTGAACGACGCTAACTCCGGCAACAACTACGGCCACAATGAAGCTCGTAGTGGTTATGACACTCAAGGATCCTATTACGTTCAGCTCCCCGACGGTCGTCTGCAGAGAGTTACTTATACTGTGAACGGCGACTCCGGCTACTTGGCTCAAGTTGAGTACGAGGGTGAGGCGCAGTACCCAGCCTACCAGCCTGCTCCCAGCTACAGACCAACACCAAGTTATGTGTAATAAAATCTCAGTTTGAATAGAAATTTGGCTTTCTTAATCCACGGCAGTGAATCTGCTTAAATTGATGCATTAATTAAAACATTAAATACATTGCCAAATGCTTCTGGCGTTATTGCACAGGGGTACCTAATTTTCTTAAGAATTGATAATGAATTGATAATTTGTCCAGCATAACATCTTGCTGTAGATAAAGACTTTTTGAAATGGGTGTTCCGCCTCTGTTTGGTATAGATAAATCCTTAAATATCAAAATGAGTGTCTGAATAACACAAACTTATCGCCTGGGTGATGACAACCAACTCACTCACTCCCTCGTGTACACACTATTTACAGTGCTGTTCCCTTGCTGCAGGTTAGCGAGACCTTTTGAGACTACAAATTTATTAATTTAGTTTCTGATCTGTTCGGAGGTACTGGTCACTTGGTTAAGTTTGGGATGAGGTAGGAAAGGTTGGTCATAATATAGGAAGGGATTTCCGGGGACATGCAAATTTCTCTCATGCAAGGTGACACCGGTCATCTCAAGTATCCAACTACACATATGCGTTTTATTACTACTCAGTAATTATTATAATATTTTGAGTTGTGCTTTATTTCTTCAATTCAATTTCAAAATAATAGGGTCTAAAATATCTTCTGCTTGTGGGTCTGGTTTCTTTGTACAATTTCACCCCTAACGACTGGCCCAAGATACTCAGACGTATTCTCAGTCGATTGGGAACTAGGTGAATACGTTCAGGAGCGAGTTCCCTACACATGAATGGGTTTATTTAACACGTTTCCGAGGTCTATCACACCAGTCGCACGCATTTATTGATGCGTATGACCGGTATATGAGGTATGAGAGGCTCCCGAACGACTGAGAAAACGGCTGATTATGTTGTCTTACCGGTACTATTGACTTTAACACTCATCTGTGTACGGTACCAGAGACAGGTTAACTGTAATCACGTTGTCAGGTGAGGTCGGTAAGCATTGTCAGTGTCTGTGATGATCTGAGCACAAAACACGAGACAACCATGCTCAGTAAGGTGTTGTAGTGGGTCCCTGGCGGTGGTATTAGGTAATTATTCGTATATATATATGATGAAATTGAGAATATAAATAATTTGGTACCTGGAGACATATCCCCATATTAGTAGGTGAATATATCCATGTCTTAATATGACACGGACTCCCCATAATCCATTGTTTTTAATCCCTCAAATTTATTGGATCCCCTGAATAAGAGAAACCCCAGCGTATTTCACTTGATAATTAAACACCTTAATTCTAAGCTAACCATTCTTTACTAAATTTACCTAACACCTACAGTTATTTAATGACATTTCATTTTTACTGGCAACAGGAAGCTGCAGTATTAATAGAAAATGAACTTACTAATTGGTTCACAGTAAGACGGGGAGTAAGACAAGGCTGTGTTCTCTCTCCATCATTGTAAAATATGAAATAAAAAATCTTAATGAGAGAAGTTAGAAGTGATAATGAAGGACGAAAAGTTTTTGGAAAAGTAATTTAGAATATACGTTTTGCAGATGATAATGATCTTATCACAAATAGTGAAAAGGTAGAACAAAACTCATTAAAAGATTAGTGGAAAAAGGTGAAAAATGTGGTTTAGGAGTGAATGCTGTAAAGACTTAAGATATGGTTGTTTCTAAATTGGAAATAAATTCGAAACTGGTGGCTGTCGAGTGCGCTGCTAGCGTAGTACTTTACTGTATCGATGCAGCGTTCAAGAATAAAAGACGAACTTTGATCTTTATGACGTCTTTACCTTTAAATTATAAAAAAATAACTCTATGTAAATATCTTGTTCCATATGGCTGTAAGTTAAGAGGGGCAAGTATACAACACACTGATGTTAAGACTTAACAATCATAAGTTAAGGGCTGTAAAGACACATAGAATTAAACACTTTTCCCGGTATTAACTAGCCCTTGATAAGTAAACTCTTATATAAATATATAAGGTAATAACAAGCTCAAATTAAAATATAACGTTAACTACCCTTACATGTATACAATGGAGCAAGAAAATAATAGCGAAAAACCTGGCTGTAGAAACCCAACTACACTTTCTCTTCTTCACGTCAGAACTGATGATTCCACACCTCAAAGCAGGCAACTGAGCTCAGCAAGGGCAGTTATTTTTCACACTATTAAAATGATATCTGAATATTACAATTGATAACCTAAATGATATAAAATACAGAATAGTTCTTTCAAAAGCACATGGCTGATAATTCAACAGTGAAATTAAACAATCAAAAAACTGTGAAATTAACCCACCAAAGAAAATGGGAATCGGCCACAGAAACTCAAGCTAAACCATTTTCTATAACACAGGAACTAAAGTGATCAACTTTTCGGCCCTAAGATAGTGAAATGTTCGTTAAACTTAAATTATCTTTACTTAATATGCCAGTTTTTCCTTGAACCGGATATACCCTTTACTGCTAAGGTGACAATGGTGGGGTGAAACCGTTTTTTAATATTAATGAAATATATCCAGTATGTAGCTTTAATTTCAATACATCAACCTGGGACAGCAACAGTACAACACTAATCTCTGTATGTTGGACACATGTATCATCCTTCCTTTGTTTTGCTCACCATCCTTATTCTACAAACGTCATTGCAGTATGACCTGACCACATCTGAGAACAAAAATATGTGAAAAGAACATGTGAAATGGCGGACTGTTCATAACTATACACACGCTTTTTACTCTGGAAAGTTTATTCATGAATAAAGATGGAAATTAATGTTATTTATACTTTCGTCTATGTAAAATAATTTGCTTAATACATTTAATTAAGGAAACAAGAACTAACCTGACAGCACATTTAGATTTAGGAATCTCTGTAGAAACACATTAACCAAAATAAGTAAATCGTAGAACGTACAACTCAGTTCAGAAAACCTCTATGAGGAAAGTGTTAGAATACTGAAAGTTAGTAAACTAATTCATGGCCTATGACCTCTGGGAAGATATTGATGGTCTGCTCTTCCCGGGAAGGCGCTAAGAGGTGGTGAAATTATGTTGTCGCACCCCAGTTTCAAGGGCTTTGCTGCATTCCCTCTTACATCTAACGTCACGAAAAGATGGGTGGAGTCTCCGCTCTCCAATATATAAGCCCGAGCGTGTATTGGTGGACATCAGTCTCGCTCTACCTTCACATTTCAACATGACTCCTAAGGTAAACAATTGAGTGTGAACTACATTGCTTGTCTGCCATGAGAAGTGTGCTTAGATAAATCTTGAAATCTACTTAGAACTGACTCACGATTCTCTGGCTTTCAGGTTTACGTCCTCGCTGCCCTTGTGGCCGTCGTCATCGCTGACAATATCCCCTACACCCCTCCACGTCCATCTTACAATGCTCCTGCCCCTGCTGTAAGTTCTATGTTCCTTTTGCTATCCACACACAATACAGGTCATCGTTCAGCGAGTTAGTATTGAATTACATTAAACAAAATATGGATTTACAAAATCAATAAACTGTACTCTACATTAAGTCTTACGAACATAAATACATCTTCAAGATATACTACGATTACGATTAAATAGTGTATAATTTTCACCCTCAGGGTCCTGCACAGTACAACTTTGACTGGTCAGTGAACGACGTAAACTCCGGCAACGACTACGGCCACAACGAAGCTCGTAATGGTTACGATACTGAGGGATCTTATTACGTTCAGCTTCCCGACGGTCGTCTGCAGAAAGTTACCTACACTGTGAACGGCGACTCCGGCTATGTGGCTCAAGTCGAACATCAGGGTGAAGCCCAGTACTCAGCCTACCAGCCCTCTCCCAGCTACAGGCCAACCCCTGGCTATGCTTAACCAAATCATAGTTTCCTTAATCCTTTTGTATGAATCTCCATAAATTATTACATTAATAAATCATACTCAAGATTTTGTGTTTCATTAACTTACTGACAATAATGAATTAAATATGTAAATAACCGAAGAAAACAAACAATATACATCGATGGCCTACTTCAGGTGTGTTAAAAATAATATGAACTGTCGTGAATGCTTCCTGCCATTCAGTAGCATTTCACATGTAACAGTTATATTCAGAGTTACATCACTGAAACCACTAATGACAAAGGCAAGTCCATCTCATCATAATGCATTCGAAAACTTAGCCATGCTGATATCTTGTCGTGAATAACCATCTTAATATTCTTTGTATTTCGCAAAAATACATATATTATAAAAAAAAATATTGCAAATTCGACAGATTCATTGAGTAAATAATTTAAATGTGATTCTTCTGTGTTTATATGTTATGTGTAAGGAAATGAAGTCAAAGACACGAACAACATAAATATTATTAACCCTTTGCTGCATGATAACATTCGGACGAACCTCACTGACTTACCAACTCATTCCTGTTGAGCCAGGTCGAACACCAGTACTCAGCCTACCAGCCCTCTCTCAACTACAGGCCAACCCCTGGCTAAGCGTAAATAAATTCTAAACTAATTAGGAACTTCGCTTCCTTAATTCTCATTTATGATTTTCCTCAGCTAATTTCAATAAAGAAATATTCTAGAAAAGTATCTGTCACAATGCTTATCTTTCTGACGAACATAATAGAATAATTTAATGAACCGGGGGTAATAAAACTAACAAGTTTAAATGAATATCAACTAAAGATTTAGCGGTAAAAATATAGAAACAGTCATTTCCTTGATGTCCATCTGAAGCCCTTTATATTATTTTACAATTATATCAATATATTGTACAGTACGAAAAACAAAAATAAGAAAACATTATTAATTAAGGGAGGAATATTTTTTCTGCAATAATTGTCAACGTTATGTGGCCTCGATATATGAATTCATAAATATTGAAATGTCTATCTGAATACGTGGAAAAAAATAAACAAACATTAAACACCGCTAACCGTCGTCTGGTTGATGACAACCAAGATGACACAGACTTACTGTACTGACTTGTTGACTCGCTCATGTACAAAATATTTATGGCATCTTTTTCTTCCCTCTTAGGGAAGTATGTAACTGGATAATTATATAGTAAACGGGTTGAA